ATATATATATGAGTTAATATTTTTTATTAAATATTTGATGTTATTTATAATTTTATTAATTTGAATGAAATCAATATAAGTTCTGAATTCAAATGCAATGAAATATTATCTCAAATTATAATTTGATGTAAAACAAGCAAGTTGTCTTATGTCCGATTTGGAAATGCAAGCCAAAAAGAATATTATTACACTAATTTTTTTTCTATTTTTGTAATATTAAATATGAAACTATTTTATTCAAAACTAATTTAATAATGAGTGGTGATAATTGCTCAAGGCAATATTCAAGGCCTCTTTGAAATATATAAGAGAACACTAACATATTAAATTTCTCATGTGTTCGGATAACAATAAGTACTTATACTTCTGATTTTGTATCAAAATTTTTAATTTATGACTTCTTGCCTTTTAATTTCTATGAAACCCTAATAGAAATCTATAGTAGTTAGGATATTATGTTGTGATTATGTTTGAACTGATAGATAGATAAATCTTTTTATAAGAGATAAAGGAAAAAAAATTTTTTCAAGAAAAAGAATCGATTGAAGCCAAAAAAGGAAGGTATATTCGAATCTTTGACGAATTATCAAATATAAGGATTGATTTTTAAAATTCTATTTACTTTTCTTAATTTAAAGATTCCTATAGTAAATAGAATTTAAAGATTTTTATTTTTGAACTCTCTTAAATAATTAATGTTTCAATAATATTAATCCAAATGGCAGAAATATCAAATTAATCGTACTTTATAACAGCAGGTCGTAAGGTAAAACTAATTTACAAATCTATTCCTAATATATCAAATTTAGAGAGGTAAACATAAGTTGAGAACTAAAGAAGAGGGAATAGGAACAATTTGATTCCAACTAGATAAAATGAAGATCAATTTAATGTAATTTTAGATGAGATAATATAAAGGATTGTTCAACCCTATTATAGAAAATTGAAGATTTATTAGTCAGAAATTATGAAAAATTTAAAAGCCAAATTGAATAGAATGCAGATTAATTGTTAGATGGATATGTGAGATTGTAATGGTTAGTGGGCATCGCATTTAAAAAAACAAATTGCGATCTTCGAGCACTGTGTGATGAACTAAAATAACAAATTGAAGAATAAAACAAATAAATATCAGAAAAACAATAAATTATCCAGAAGATGAGTAATCAAGCCAAAGAAGATATTGCAGCTGAAGAGAAAAAAATAAAGGAATTAAACTAAACCATTCGTTAATTAAAAGAAAAGCAGTAGGAATTCATTCAATAAAAGGAAAACCTAAAAAATAAGTTGGAGGCTGAAATAGGACATCTTACAATAAATCAATAAGCTCTGCAATTATAAATAACAAAAAAAGATGAAATATTCTAGCAAATATTAGATGAGGAAAAATAGAAATGTACTGAGGCTTTAAATCAATTAAATCTAAAAAATGAAGTGGAAACCTTCAAAAATTCTGATGAGAGATTATAATTAATTATATAAAAGGAAGTCGACATAGAACAACAAACTGAGGATATAAGTATAAAGGTAAATGATATATTAAAAATTACTTAATAAAATTTTAAGAGAGAAAAATGGTAATAAATAAAGAATCAATTCTCAAGTACAAAGGACTAGATTACAGCTGTTATAAAGAGTTTAGAACAATATATTTAAAAATAAAGGCGTATATGGGGTTCAGCAATTTAAGTTGACTCTGCATTAAATTCATAGGTAAAACATAATATAGAAATTATGATGGCTTATTCTAAAATCTTTGAAAATTTTTATAAAACAGTCGAAAAATTAATAGAGCTGCTTGATAAATATTAAATAGTTAGCAACCTTGTTTAAATAGAAAGGAATAATGAAAACCTCAACAATAATCCTTCTCCTTCTATTTAACCTAGATAGCCAAAAAATGAAAATTAAACATCTTAAGCTTAAATAGAGACTCAATCTAATGATACAAGTACCTTTGTATATAATTAATAGTTAAGAGGAATGTAAGCAAATCGGCAACAATACTTAAGAATTTAGATAGAAAAAAAAAAATTACTCATAAGGAAACATTAGATTGCAAAAGGAACAAGAGATGACGCTACCTAGAGTAGTGAAAATGATATTTTAAACACAAAAAAATTAAGAGATATTCTTTTTTAATTAAATTTATAATTAAATCAAAAAGTTAAAATTTGTTTGTTACTCTCGAAATGGATATTGTAAATATTCATTAAAATTTAAAAGTCTCTCATTTTTTATTAATTAGATTTCACTGTTAAAATTATAATTTCTAATCTTATTATCTAAATTATATATTTAATATTAACTAAAAAGGATATTTTATTAATTAATTGGATGTAGAGTATGACAGTGGTTTCATAATTAAGATATTATTGCTCCGAGTCAAGAAAATAGGTTTAATTCATATATTTTAAACAAAAAACAAATGTAACTTGAGAAAAAGATTCCTAAATCAACTTAAAACATTGAAACTGAAAAGAATGATTATCCTAATTTTCTTATATATACAATAAACAATGTAAATCTGTAATATCCAACATCATTAATATATTTACCTATTGAAATTATAAAATTAATCATTAATTAGTCAATTTTTCGACTGCTAATCTTTCAGAAATTATGAAAATGTTAGTGAGCAAGATCATTTTTTGTATGAATAAATCTACAAATAAATGTAATTGGAAATATTATAATGAATAAGATGAAACCTTATTTTATTGTATCATATTCATTAAAATGTAAGTCTTACTATTATTATAATACTTAAATAGTAACTTAACTTATAAATAAATTAATGTGCCAGATTTGATAATATTATATGTTAATATTTAATTTAACTAGATACCATATAAATATCTTCAGGATTCGCTTCATCATATTTTCAATGCCTTATTGGAAATGTGTATTCGTTTAATTCCTGTAATTTTTGAGGAAATAATCTTTTGATTAACATATTATATGTTGAAGTATAAAATCTTACACTACTACATTCAAATAACAATTGATTAATTTCTAAATAAAAATATCTAGTGCGTTAAAAAAATGCCAATCATAATTCAAAACTTTATAAAAAAATAACTCTATTTTAATAGCAACTTATTAATATTAATATACCGATTTGAGGATGGCATTAGAAAAAGTTGGTTTGACAATCTAATTTCGAAAATGTACTTGAAAATCCATTAGCAAATTCACAATTCTTTACTTTATTAAAAAATATAATAAATAATTTAATAGATATTATTCTTTATAATCTGTGTGCAATGTTTTAAGGTACAAATTTGACAAATATACAATCTTCATATATATTTAATCTAATGTTTCCAAAAGAAATCCCTCTTATGACCCCATTTTGCTTTAATCTATGATTCTGAAATTGATCTACAGGATTCATTGTATATGAATCTAGATTATACGAAATGTAGTAATAAATTTCAATACACTTTTTTATGGTTATGATATTTATTCTTTTGGTTTTGATTTTTTGAATTGAAAATTTCAATGCCTAAAATTTTTAATACATTCTAAATCAGCTTTTTATATCGTAATTTCATCTATTAATCCTTTAAAAATATTATTAATCTCATCTCCTATGTACTCAATTAATTATTTAAATTTAATTTCGCTGTTAGATTATAGCTATAACTTTAAAATGAGTTAAAAATTCTATTGAGAAATTAATCAATTTAACATTTTAATATTTTGGATAAATATGTTTAAATCCTTAATATTTTTTTCAATATTAAAGTAAACTTAATTATCAAACCTATCTGCAAACTTTAACACCAAGTTCAAGGGACTTTATGGTATTATCTAAATGGTAATTCATTAGTATTTAAGGTTGATCTACTTAAATTTCAAAATGCTCTATTTTGATAAATACAAATCAAGTATGATAAATATGTTGCAATCCTAAATATTAAAAGAGAATAGGTTATTTCATTTCAGGTTAATTTTATAGTGATGAATTCAATTAGTATGAAAAGTGGAAGATAATGTGTTATACCTATAAAAAATTAACTAGGTTTTTAACTTTCATTTAACATAATCTTCACTTATGAAGTTTTAATTCTAACAATTATATAGCTTAATTAGACTATATAAAGATTTGTTTAGGTAAATTAAGATTTAAATTTAACTAGAGTACCAATATAACGAAAGATATTGTCGAGGCTTTCAATTCGAATACTTTTCTAAATAATTCTCTTCTATATAGAGTTCAAATTATGCCATAGTCTGGCTAAGCAAAAGAATTTTGATGCAATTGCTTCTTTGATTAATTTTTGCTTCATTATAAACCTTGGAATTTTGAATGGAATAGTTTTTATGATTATTAAGCTGTTAATAAAAGGTCTCATAATCTCATAATTTGGGATTAGAAATCAAAATAAAGCCATATAACAGAAAGGAAGATATCCTGAACATAAGTCATATTTTATATTATTTCTTAATCGTAAAATTTTATATTTATTTATTTTCTCCATCATTGCTGTATTTCTAAGGTTTGAAATCTAATGATCTGTTAATTATATGATAAGAGATTAAAATTGTTTTTAATGTCAATAGCGAAATAGCTGGAAATTTAAATTATACTACTATGAATTATTTCTGAA